CTTTTTTTTTGCGGATTCTGATCTCTCTGGAGCGTTGCTCGGCCTTGTACAGGGCCCCGCTTGCTGGCCTCAGGAGGAGGTTGCATTCGCGACCCAAAACATCCTCTCCCGAGAGGTCCTGAGGTGCAACAAGCATCCTCTGCTTCCTTTAGCTTTAATGGGTCCTGGATGGAGTGTACTGATTAGGCAACTTGGGGAGATTTTAGATTTGCTAGCGGCTTTCTGGGCCCCTAAAAAGGCTTTTTGGGAGATGGAATGCCTTGCATCCCTGGTAGGACCCACAGCTTTGGTACTATTAGTGAGGGTGTTTTAGAAAGAAAGCCTAGTGGGGGAAATGTGACCTAGGGATAGAATTGGCCAGGAGGGAGATGTCTCTGAGGGAGGGGTTGGAGTGGGAAACAAAAAGAGTGGATAGACAAATGAAACTGAAATGTGAGGATTTCTGAGCAGATCAGAATCTTGATTGAAGCAAATAATCTTTGGGAAAGGATAAGGTTTAAGATTGAAAAGGCAGAATGGGGCTAGGTGACATAGGGCCTTGAGTTCCGAAATGAATTCTACTGTAGCTTGTATATTCTAGAGCATGCTGGTTAGGATGTGCTGTAATTCAGTGTGTATGAAGTACACAGATTCTTTTTGGAAATGACGTAGAGTGATATCTCATTGGAAGCTGGAATCTGATTCTCACAGCAGCAATATCTAGAAAGATTGTAGAATTACTGCAGTGTGAGACCCAGGGAGGGAAAACACCCAGATTTTTTGCTCCCAAGTTACCTTTGTGCCCTTTTGTTATTCAAAGAGTGCTTAGTCTTTGAAAATAGATTTGAGGAAGTTGTTTTCGAGATATAAATTCTTTGCCCTGATATGATGAATGATATGTATTGACTGGAATAGTGGTTTAGTGATGAGCAAAGTTAGGATTCTGAGCATTCATTCCCAGACCAGTTTCCCTTACTAACCTTGTGCTCAAATATGAATAACTACACTGCAGGAAAATGTCAATTACTCTCAGACTAAATAAAAGTAATCAAACTTGAAGTCAATTAACAATCATCATGGAAGTTCATTGAGTTATACTCTGCCAGGTACTGTGGTAGATGGGAGTGGGTAGCTGGGAAGAGAAAAAATGCCAAAAATACAAGATGCTGTCTCTCCTTTTATGGTGCTGAGGGAAGGTCCACCTAATGACAGAATAATTAGTATGAAGGGTAGAACTGAACCCCCTGTGGCCCATTATAGTTATATACCTTGTACCACCTAATTATGGCACAGGGACTGGGTTTTTGAGTCTGCCAATCTTCTCAGCATTGTGATATGGGCTTCCTTGAGGGTCTCAGTCTTCTTGTGGAAGAGACCTTATTTGATATGAGCCGCGACACATGGTATTTTTCTCTGAATGTCTTTATAAGGTAGAGGTTTGTGAGATAAACACACTGTGTGCCAGATTGTGCTGGGATGATGTGGGCCATGATGTTGATACCATCTTTTTCCTCTTTTCTGTCTCAGAACTTCTTGGTCCTGATGTCTGACCATGGAGATGTGAGCCTCCCTCCCGAAGACCGGGTGAGGACTCTCTCCCTGATGGGTAGTGCAGTGGAGATAAATGAAGACATTCCACCCCGTCGGTACTTCCGCTCTGGAGTTGAGATGCTCCGAATGGCATCCATTTACTCTGAGGAAGGCAACATTGAACATGCCTTCATTCTCTATAACAAGTATATGACGTAAGACACCTTCAGTTTCTTTTTTCCGGTGACTGATTCCTTACTCATTCTGCTTTTGTGCTCATATATTTGTTCGGAATTGCTAAAGCTAGAGAACTTTACATCATCATTAGCATTAATCATTTTTGCTGGCAGTTCCTACATATTGGCTGTCCTTGACATTCAAAGACATGAGTACTGGAAGTGTTATTATCATGACTCAGTAATTTCATGAGTAAAAGACCTAACTCTTTGGCCTGTGCCCACATGGCCCAGCTGTTAGGCAAGAGAGTTGGTGGTTAAACTGTACATGTTTTGTACTGGTGAGTGTTTTTCCTCTCCTCTCTCTATTAATCATAGGATTAGTGCTGAGGCTTTGCAGAGCCAAAATTTCTCACCTCTACTTATTTTGTAGCAAATTGAGTAAATCAAGAAAAAGTTTTTTCTTAACTGTTGTGATGCAGATTGTCAAATAAGTATTGACCACCTACAGTTTGTGTGGCTCCCTTTAGCTGCTTAGCATCTTAGGGTAGGCAGTATAAATAAAAGATTTCTGTACAATTAACAAGGAACAACTCCCAACTCCCCAGTGATAATGAAATGATGTGTAATTTAGGAAAAGAATAATGTTAAAAGGCCTCATGTATAATTCCTAGTCTTCTTTAATAATACCAGGACCTTTGAAAAAATAATAATAATTACAGTGTTTTCGTGTGGCTCTTAGTAGTTCATAGAGTATTTCGCCTGCATTATTTCATTTGATTTTCACAGCTCTGTGTGTGTTTAGGAGCTCACATCATCCTCCTTCTTACAGATGGGGAAGCAAGCTCAGGGGTTAGGGATATACTTTGCTGCACAGTTTGGAGAGACAAAACCCAGCGTAGGTTCTGTTCTTTCTGTTTTCCTTTTGGTAATGTTCTGTTCTTTGAAGTCATAATCTTGAGCCACACTGACTAATTTTTTATTACTTTTTATTCTTGTTTTTGAATAGGTAACGCATCACATGGTGCAGAATGCAAAGGTACAAAAGGGTATAAATATTTTAAAACTAAGTCTCCTACCACTCCTCTTTCCTCCCAAACCTTCAGTTTTCCAATCCAGAGAGACTCACTCTTACTCATTTCCTGTATGTCCTCCCAGAGATGCTATATGCATATCAATTATGTCACAGTAGGTTTTTGATCCCATACTACTCTAAAGCAGGGTAGTTGGCATCATTTATCTGTGGCTGAATAATTCTTTGTTGCCAGGACTGTCCTATTCATTACAGGGTTTGTCATCATCCCTAGTCTATCCACTAGATGCCAGTAACACCTCCTCCCCTCCAACTGTGACAACCAAAAATGTCTCCAGACATTACACACTGTTCTCTGAGGGGCAGAATTGCCTCAGTTGAGAACCAGTGCTCTAAAGAAAAGTGGGAGTTAAGAGGGGACTGCCTAAGATTCCTATTGTAATTTTATAATGAAGAAAAAAAAAACCCGTTGTCTTTTTCTCTTTAAGTTTAGAAGTAGTGCCTCTTTTCTCAAAGATATTGCATTCCATCCATGCCACCATGCCTTGTCATGTGGCTTCAATGTTGATAAAGTTCCATAGAATTATAGTTACATCTTGGCCTCTCTCTGCTGTTACAAGTTTTTCATTCCTGGGCACAGTGGGCACAAAATTTATTTTCCTGAGAAGTTTCTTTGGCTACTAGCCCTCTCTTCATATACTTTGCTGCTGTTAGAAATAGTATTCTTATATATTTCCAGTAATCTTGTAGATAATTCTCCCAGAATGAGACGCTGGGGCATAATTCCTTTGGGAGAGTTTAATAGAATTGTGGAATTACTCTATCAGGTGTTTTCTGAAAGGCCTTCTGGGTCCTGTTGCCCCACATAGAAAGTACTTTGACAACAAGGACTATATTCATTCAACAAATACATATTGTGTATACCTCCTATATATTTGGCACTACACTGGAACCTGGATATGCAGTAGATAAAATGGCCCCTACCCTTATTGGTGTATCCTTTTAGTTATGGGAGAAGACAGTACACAGGTAATCAAATAACTATGTAGTCATAAAACAAGAAAAATGCTATGAAATCAAAAGAGTGCTATGACAGAGAATAACCAATATCTAATTAAATAGAGTAGTCAGGGTAAGGTCTGTCTGAGAATATAAAATTTAAAACTGAGACTTGAAGGATACAATAGAGTTGGTCATTGTGTTTGGAGTGTAGCAAGTGAGGAAGGATGACTCCAGATGAGGTCAGAGAGGCAGGCAGGACTGAATTTTGCAGAACCATATAGGTTTGTGTTTTATCTTGAGAGCAATAGAAAGCCATTGAAAAGTTTTAAGTGAGGTTATGACCTAATCTTACTTATCTTTTAAAAATGTAAATTTTGGCTACTGTGTTGTGGATGGTGGAGGGAGTGTTAAGAGAGGGCAGGGAGATTAGTTAGGAAACAAAGCCATTCAGGAGGGTGGCTGGTGGCTTGAAGGAGCATGGTAACCAGGAAAGAAGCGGATGGATTTGGTATACTGGAGGTAGAGTCTGTGGGACTTACAGTTTGGAAAAGAAGATGGTATCAAGGTTGACCTCAGCTTTCTTCCTTCTGTGATTTAGGATGTGGTGGTCTATTTACTAAGATGGGGAGAGTGGTATTGAAAAGGGGAGATTCAAGAGTTCAGGTCTGGGTTTTCTTTGACATGTTAAGATATTAAATTTGAGATGCCTGTGAGATATGCAAGTAGAGAGGCCCAGTAGGAGGTTGGATGTACTAGTCTGAACTCAGAGAAGTCTGAGGTGGAAATACAAATGCAGGAGTCCTCAGCATGCAATGGTTCTGAAGCCATGAGTACCACTGAGACCTTCTAGCTCAGAGGTTGCTTATCTGTGGTCCAGGAACCCCATAGATTCATAGATAGAACTTGGAGTACATGAACTTGACTGGGAAAAATTTTTCTTCTTTTTAATAACCTCTAACTGAAATTTAGCATTTCCTTCATTTTGAATATAGGTCTAAACTTACAGTAGTATAAATAATATAGACATACCTTGACGATATTGTGGGTTTAGTTCCAGACCACTGCAATAAAGCAAATTGTGCACTAAAGTGAGTCACGTGAAGTTTTTGGTTTCCCAGTGCATCTAAAAGTTATGTTTACATTATACTGTGGCCTATTAAGTGTGCAATGGCATTATGTCTAAAAAAACACAATGTACATACCTTAATTTAAAAATACTTTGTTGCTAAAAATGCGAACCATCATTTGCTTGATGAAAACATAGTATGTGCGAAGCACAATAAAATGAGGTATGCGTGTATTTGTAATTTTGTCACCAGTACAAATCAAGATATTGTCATATCACATCACAATTTTTACTGATATCTCAAGGTAGCATTTACACTTATTACTACCTCATAATTATAGTATAGAGTTATTAAACCTGTGACTAGGTCCTTAATGCATTAATAAATGCATTAATCAAGAGCACATTAATAAAGAAGCACATATCACAATTTTTTATATTTTGAAAAAGGTATTTCAGTAGAATTTGCTTCTTTTGTAATTCTTTGTATTTTATGTTATATCTTAAAGAAGTTATTCCGAGGAGGAATTATATGCTTCATCAGATGCCAGAAAGATCCTCGGCACATAAAAGGATTCAAGATCCTTGATAATGAGACTGTAGAATGAGAAAAGGAGTGTGGGACTAAGCCCTGAGGTTGATTAGAGGGCCAGCAAAGGAGACCTTGAAGGAAAGTTGGAGAGGCAGGAAGAAGTTCAGGAGAGAGTTGTACCATGAAAGCCAAAAGAGGTCAGTGTTTTCAGAGAGGAGCCAGCTGGATCAGATGGATCAGATGGGTGAGGATTTGGGTTTGGTAACATGGTGTCATTGGTGATTGGGTAAGCAATTTCACTAGAAGGGTTAAAGACATACTAGATTAGAGTGGGTTGAAAGGTGAATGGACAGTAAGCACATGGAAACAGTGAATATACTGCCAGTAGGCAGATAGTAGATACTTTTGGCTTTGCAGGCTATTTGATCTGTCACAACCTCTGCTTTGTCGTGTGAAAACAGCCATAGACAATACATGAATGAGAGGGTATGACTGTGTTCCAATGAAACTTTATTTATAAAAACAGATGCTGAGCTGGATTTGACACACTGGCATAATTTGCCAAGACCTAGCCTATACAACTCTTTGTAGAAATTTGAATAGGAAGTAAAGTAGAAAAATGGGGATGTAATTGAAAGGCGACAAGGAGTGTGTAAAAACGTGGTGTGTATTTTAAGATGGGAGATTCTAGAGCATCTTTTTTGCTGATGGGAAAGACCCGGTGGAGAAGGAGAGGCTGCTGTTACAGAAAAGAGAGCGTTTAACTGTAGCAATAAACTCCTAAGTAGGCAAGAGGGTGATAGGATTGAGAGTACAGGGATTCTTAAGAAATTGATATTTTTCTGTGACTTGGTGTTACTCTGAGTGACATGAGTATTAGTGTTAACAGCAAGACTGATATGGGGTGTCTGTCCCTGTATAGGGGTCCCCTTTTGGGACCATTTAATATGATAAACTAGGCTTGGAGGAGAGTTGAATGAGAGGTGGGATGTGTAGCAGCTCATTTACTTAATTTGTTAGATTTGGGGTTTAATTTGGGATTTTGTTGGATTGGCTTGACCTGGATCAATAAATGTAGCTACCTTCATTTTTCTTGTACATATCATTAAGGCCCTAATTCTGATTCTGTGAACCAACAAGCCCTAAGAGTAGGAAAAATGTTCTAGCTCAATATTCTCATTCTGTTTTTCTACTTCATGTTACTTGGTCTATTTCTGTCAGTAACAGTGGCTCACTTTGGCAGTTATTACATCTGAGAGAGGAGGGAGGAGGGCAGGCATCCACGTCACCACTCCTCTGCCTCCCCCACTATTGAGAGTCATTGTTCTTGTTCTAGAACTTTTGTGGATCCTTTAATTCAGGGGTTTAAAAGGCATGTTTGTTCTTTTCCCTGGAGCAGTTCAGGCATCTGAATGATCTCAAGCACATTCCCCGCCTCAGAGGTTTTCCCTGCTGTAGGAATGCTTTGCCTTTTGCAGACCCCGATGTAGAAGAAGGATCTTCAGCATATTAAAGCAGTACATATTTTCATGATGAGCACAGGCAGTAATCCAGGCAGCGGATTCTTTCACAGCTTTTTATGGTCATTGACTAGGCTACATAGAAGGGAGTTACTGAAGACTTCAGCAATTCCTGTCTGCTCTGTGAGCCTCCTAAAACACAAACCCACTTTCTGAAAATGGTTTGTCACCTGCCCGAAAAATGGTTACTACTGGGATTGGGGATTATAGACTGAAGAGGTCTTCATCTGTGGTCATGCTCACTTTGCTGATTAACTTTTTAAGATTGGAAGAAATGAAATGAGAGTCCTCAATATATTCATGTTATGTAATTTCTGCTTGACATTTTGAATTAGTAATTTTTATACAGAATTAACATTTGTTCATGATTAAAACTTTTTTCCCCCAAAACATAAAGTGAAAAGTCTCACCTACCAAAGGTAACCACTTATATACAAGAAAATGTTTGTGCCCATGCAAGCCTGTAGGCTCACCTATTTAACCTTTTTTCTTAAAGCATGAATGAAATCATACAATATATTTTGTTCTACAACTTGTTTTCTTAACAGTCCTATTTATCTTTCCATATCAGGACATACTGATTCATCTCACTGCCTTGGGGCTATTTTTTCTGCCTGGAACAGTCTTATCCTAGATTCTTCATGGCTCACTCTCTTCCTGTTCTTCTTTATTTGCCACCTTGCCAGTGATGCCCTTAGCTGCCCAATCTAAAGCCTCAATCCCTAGCCCCTTCACTGCCTATATCCCTTCTCTAGCAATGACTTTTCCTTACTTTGGTTACCTAGATGCTTTTTATTTTGTTTATTATCTCTTACCCCACTGTAATGCACACTTTTGGGGGGGAAATTTGTGACTGTATCGTTCACTGCCAGATCCTCAGCCTTTACAATCATGCCTGGCCCCATAGTAGGTGCTCAGTAACTACTTGTTGGCTGAATGGATGGATGATTATGTTGTTTATCACATTTGGGTACACCGTCATTTATTAAATAATCCCCTGTTGGTGGACATTTAGGTTTCTCATTTTCCCTGCTTTTATGAACATTGCTATATTGAATAGTCTTACACATATACCTTTGTACTGTTGTATAGGATAAATTCCTAGAAGTGGAACTGTGAGTTTCAAGGATCAACACATTTTAAATTTTTAATAGTTTTCTCCTACCCCCCCCCTTCTCTAAGAAGAAAATAGTATCAAATTATAGTCCTGCTAAGAGTGTATAAGGACACTCATTTTCCCATACCCTGGCCTACACTGGTTATAATTAACCTTTAAGCCTTTGCCAATCTAAAAGATGAAAACGATATCTCAGCTTAATTTCAGTTTCTTTTGTGATAAGTAAAGTTAAAGACCGTTTCATATGCTTATTCACTTTTTGTATTTATTTTTCTCCTTACCTTCCTCCCGCCCCATTGTTCCATTAGGTGGTTTTGCTTGCTTTTTTGCCAGCTCGTCTTTCTTCATTTGGGTACATATCCTCTCTCTAGGCTGTAACCAGATCTAACCCCAGAGAACAGTATACATCTGGGCCACAGCTATTCTGTGCCTCGAACGTTTCTAGCCCTGGTATTAACATCTTCGTCTCTTCTTGCTTACATCTTTTATTTGTTTATTTATTAGTAAAAACAATCATAATAGCACATAGTAGATGTTAGCCATATGATAGGCACTGTGCTCAGCACTTTTTCTCTCTCTTTAAGCATCACAGTAATCCTATCAGGTGGTTCTATTTTGTCTCCATTTATATAATTTATATATAAAGAAACTGAGGGATGGTGAGATTAAGTAATTTACCTGAGATCACAGTAAATGGCCAAGCCAGGATTGAGCCCCGGCAGGATGGCTCCAGAGCCTGTCCTCCTCTAGAGCCTGTCCTCCTAACCAATAAGCTGTTTCCTCCAATGTGGGAAAGGAGTTATGTTGTCCAGTCTCTGTGTTCAAGAGACCCTTCTGCTCTTATATGTTGCCATTCAGAAAATAGACAACAGTTGAAACAAGGGAAAGGTATTCACGTATAAGTTGGAAAGTTTTATCCTTACTTGTAAACTAGATTCTATTACTCCCACTCTTTTTTTTTTTTTTTTAAATATATCTTTATTGATTTCAGAGAGAGGAAAGGAGAGGGAGAGAGAGAGATAGAAACATCAATGATGAGAGAGTCATTGATCGAGCCCACAACCCGGGCATGTGCCCTGACCAGGAATCGAACCCCGATCGCCTGGATCCTAGGTCAATGCTCAACCGCTGAGCCACGCCCAGCTGGGCACTCCCACTCATGTCTCATCCACCCTGTTTCCCCTGCCCTCTACTTTTATTAGTTACTGTATATACTTCCCATGTTTCTCTAGATTTTTATAAGCAGAATAAACGGATATACATGTATATAATTTTCCCCCTTTTCTGCAAGGAAGCATACTATATACACTTTTTCATTTACACTTTGGTTTTTTTCACTCCTCTCATCCAGAGGTTTTAAGTCCATTCTATTCATCAGATATTTATTGAGTGACTCTTTATACAGGCACTGTATTGGCTTTAGAGGAATATACAAAGAAGCATACAATATACAAAGGAATCTCTGGCCTCAGGGACTTTACAGTCTCTTTCTTCAGGTTGAGAGCATAAGTGAGAATATAGTGAGGTGTTTGTATGACATGGGACTTTCTTGGCTGATTCAAGCTTCAGTACAAAGCACATTCAGCCTGCTGAGGTGGTGAACATGAACCTTGGTCTTTAGGGCCAAGGTGAGAGATCTACTGAATTGTAAGTCTCTTGAACACAAGAACTGTGTCTTATTTATTTTAATATCCTTTTAGGACTTTGTGACTGAACAAATAAATGTACTTGTTTTATACTTTAAGGAAACTGTTATATCTTTTTCTTGAACCCAAAGGGAAGATTCTTAGAATCATTTTGATTTTAGAATTTATGCCAGCCTGTGGGGTCTTAGATTAAAAGGGAAAAAAAATTTTTTTAAACATATCTTTATTGATTTCAAAGAAAGGGAAGGAAGAGGGAGAGAGAGAGAGAGAAACATCAATGATAAGAGAGTCATTGATTGGCCGCCTAGCCCGCAACCCGGGCATGTGCCCTGACCCGGAATCGAACCCCGATCTCCTGGATCCTAGGTCGATGTTCAACCGCTGAGCCACGCCCAGCTGGGCAGAAAGGAAGTTTTCATGTGCCAAATATAAAACCAAAGGAGGAGGAGTCTTCTACAGAGGATTTGTTTTGATGGGTGGGGGGTCTTCTTTTCCCCTTACTGAGGCTTCCTTCTCTGTTTTTCTCCTGCCCATAGGCAGGAAATGGAAGAAGTTCAGTTAATCCTAACTATAGCAGAGTATTTTAGGCCGTGAGCAAGCTACCCTCAATTTATTTGTTTTGGCAGTTGACTTATATTTATTACAACTTTATTAAAAGATCCCTTCGTTCAGAACCCCTCCAACAGTTGTGGACATTCTAGGAGCCATGTGGAGGCAGTGTGGTGTAGTGGTTAAAAGAGTAGATTCTTAACTCGCCACTTTGGGCTCTGACAAGATATTGGACTTCCCTTTTTTTTTTCCCCAGTGTCCTGAAGTAGACATCCTAAATGTTAGAGGTCTGTGAATTGAGTCCGTTTATTTTTCCCACTGAGCTTCGCAGCCAAGGACAAGAACTGAAAGAGAAAATTTATCACTTATGTTTCTCTAAGCACTTTTCATCAGAGATCACAATCATGTTATACATGTAACATGAACAAATTATACACACAGGTACTGTGTAAGCTTCTTAGTGTTTAGTATGATGCAAGGAGTATTCTTTGAAGGAACATGAATCCCAAAGGAAAACAAGCCAAAGTTAAAGGTCATATGGGGCTATGAGTAGAAATAGAACATGGGTTTTCCTTTAGCTTCCTGCCTTTGGCTGCCAAACTCTTCTCTGAAGAATTATTTGTGACAGAGACCCTTTCCTTTGGAAGCCTGAACGCCGTCCAACAAGAAAAGAATGTCTTTGGCAGTGTATTTTTGGGCAGAGGATAGACTTTTTTTTTCCTCCATTTTTTTGTTGTAGGAGTCTGGTGCTTGCTGCTGTGGGCCTGATTTGAGAGAAGAGAGATACACTCTGTTGCTCTTTACAGGCTAGAGATGGGTGAGGGGACATGGCCGACCTGTGTGCCTGTTCCCTCTCACCTGCACATCTGGAACTCTGTCATGCAGTGGCTGCAGGATACGGAGTTACATCGCTTTAGAGCCTTTTGGACATGTGGACATTTCTTTGTATCATAATCATTCTGATCTGTTTCTTTAGGCTCTTTATTGAGAAACTACCAAAACATCGAGATTACAAATCGGCTGTCATTCCTGAAAAGAAAGACACAGTAAAGGTGGGCCTTCACTATTATTATTGCCCATCTAAAGCTTCGCAGTGGCACACACTAGCTCCAAGGTAAAAGTAGTAGTCTGCCTCTGAGCATGAGATCCTGCAATAGGAGGTGAGGCCATTTGATCAGTATGAAGTAGCAGGTATGGCACTATAGGGGGTATTTTAAATTGTTTTTGGAAATATTGTTGCCATTGCCAATTGGCTGCTTAATTAGCTGAAAATTTTCTAATTCACAGTATTTTTGTGTATATCTCAGAAATTAAAGGAGATTGCATTTCCCAAAGCAGAAGAGCTGAAGGCAGAGCTGTTAAAACGATATACCAAAGAATATGCAGAATATAATGAAGAAAAAGTGAGTATATAATAACAACAAAAGAGGAAACTAATTTGTTTTTTTAGGTTGTGCCCTGGAATTATAATATAATATTTTAACAGGTCCTGTGATTTTAATGTGATACTTTACTTTTTTACTAAAGTCCAGAACTCAAAAAAGTAGGAAGCAAGTGTCTAGGCTGAGTATTCTAACACAGATTTAGCTTTCTTGTCCAAGAGGGTGGCTTGAGGGATAGAAAATCTCTCGCCTGTCTGCAATATCTAGAGCGAGAGCCTAAAAACTGAAAATTCTCACTAAAACATGGGTTTTTAGGTCAGAGACTTTGGCAGGTTTGATTCACATTTTGTTATACCTGAAACAGGCTATACCTGAAATGATTTCTTTTCAAGCCATTTTCAAATGATTCTTGTTGGGAACCTGAGTCAGTTCAAGCACACGGAGGAGCTCCCAGGGCACCACTCATGGTCTGAGTCAGATACGAGTGCACCCGCAGGCACTTCCACATTATTCTGCAACGCTCTACTGAGCTCTGTTCTGGACTCTGTTGATAAAAGCCAGCAGAGAGGCCAACAGCTATGAGGCATATATTTCTAAGGCATAGAGTGAGTGAAAACCTTAATGAAGATTATTACTTAATATTTCTTGTTCTTTAAAAATGTCACTCTGTATTGAACTGATCACCAGAAAATTTCCGAGGCTTCATTTTGGGTTAAAAACTCAATAGAGACCCTTGACATTGCAGGTATAAGTTGAGATTTGGTTCTATTTTATAGCCTTACTTGGGATATAGAATGAATGCATGGCACAGTTAGAGAATAAAACTGTATATGATACCAGTTATGAGGTGCAGATAATAAGTTGCATAGAGATTTCAGTAAAGAAAAAAATACATTAGTTAGAGTCATTGGGAAGCATACTGAGAGGGTTGGGACTTTAACTGTCCTTGAAGAAAAGGTATATGGTGGCTACATAGATAGGAGAGGTGACTCTTCTATGTGTGTAGAGGTACTGAGTGAAGTATGAATCGCATGTTTGGAAATCAGGCCAGAGCAAAAGTACCTTTTAGGAAACTCCCTTCATAATGGCCTTGTCCTCCTGAAGTATGAAGTCACCTGAGTGTAGTATTAGCCTAACTCCTCTTCTTTCTTTGTAGAAGAAGGAAGAGGAAGAATTTGCCCGGAACCTGGCCATCCAACAGGAGATGGAAAAGGAAAGACAGAGGGTAGCACAACAGAAGCAGCAACAGTTGGAGCAGGAACAGTTCAGTGCCTTTGAGGAGATGATCCGGAACCAGGAACTAGAAAAAGAGCGGCTGAAAATTGTACAGGAGTTTGGGAAGGTGGACCCTGGCCCAGGCGGCCCACTGGTGCCTGACTTGGAGAAGCCCTCCCTAGATGTGTCCCCCACGGTACCTGTTGCATCCACACAGCCTTCAGACTGTAATACAACTGCGAGGCCTGCCAGACCACCTGTGGTGGACAGATCCTTAAAACCTGGAGCATTGAGCAACTCAGAAAGTGAGTCCTTCTGCTCATGTCCTCTTTCATCATAGCTGCAGCTAAACAGTGTGTCATTTGGGGCATTCTGCCTAAGATTACCTCCATTATTGCACTCATTAGGCTGTGGTCACAGATACCCATTAATCAGTATTGCCATACTGCATCCTGTCACACTGACCGTAATATGAAAGTGGCCTTTGCTTCAGCCATATAATTTACCTGGGCCCTGATCAATTTTCTGAAGAACTAATAATATCCTTGCAAGTCCCACCCTCAGCTTTAAAAGGGCTATAGAGAGATTCGAAATGTTCAGTGAACTGGACACCGCTATTGGCCTTTGGTAAAGGACACTTTAAATTTATTATACTACTTTGTAATGTAACAGCGACTTTAAGGGACGGGGGGCACTGCTGAATTGTACTTGCCCTGAAAACATTTCTAATCCTTAAGGAGCTTAGTCAAGGTAAATATCATATATAGTCAGTTATAATTCAGTCTAGCCATAAAAACTATTGACAGTCTTTCCTCTTCTCACCAGTGATTGACTATCTGAGAAAATAACAATAGCTGCAAAACGAATATACCTTAATTATTAGAATAGCTCTTTTTGGGTAGGAATATGCGTTCAAGTAGTCCTTTAGGGAACTCTGCTTTGCAGAAGATCCACTTAAAGGGGCAGTGTAAGAGTGGGCAAGGGGTGCTAGACTCAGAAGACTGACTTTAGAGTTTTCCCCCACATATTGGCAGACATGCCTCTCACTAGTGTTCCTTCATATGTATTCTATACTTTGGCCATATTGGACTCCCACATTCCCAGAACAGTCGCTAGGCTATCTTATCCAAAGAGGTTTGTTAACACATGCCCTGAACCTAAAATCTCCTTTGTCTATCTCTGCCTTCCCTGATTTTCTTAGTTTTTCCAGATCTCCTTCCCTTCAATAAGATTGATTCTGTTTTTTAAACTCCCAGAGCTCTTATATCTAGAATGCAATTGATATCATTACCTGATAGTATAGTCATTTGTCAATAACTAGATTTTAACTTCTTGCAGGGTTAGGGCTTGCTTGAGTGTTGTTGCTTTCTATGTCCCTGTGGGCTGAGCACAGTGTCTGTTCGGCAAGTGAGTACTGAATTGAAAGGAAAGGACTGTGCCAAACCTCAGTTCAGAATCCTCAGATATCGTCATCAGACTGCCACGTGACAGCTTGGCTCCTGGGCTGATATTGTTACCTCTCCAGCAGTCCAGGCCTTGCTGTTGAATGTGCAGAAGCAGAACATCCTTTTTTTAAAAAATGTCTTTATTGATTTCAGAGAGAGAAAGGGAGAGGGAGTGATAGAAACATCAATGATGAAAGAGTCATTGATCGGCTGCCTCCTCCACGCCCCCCACTGGGTATCAAGCCTGAAACCCAGGCATGTGTCCTGACCGGGAATGGAAACTCAATCTCCTGGATCAGAGGTCAGTGCTCAACTGCTGAGCCATGCCAGCCAGGCCACCTTTTTTTTTTTTTAATGAAAATTTGACTGTGAAAGATTCCCCCTGATTTTAGCCTGCTGGCTCTCACTTGTCTCTCCCTGGTGTTCAGGGACTGGATCCATTCTTCTGAGCCAGGCTTATAAGCTGCTTTGTTTGCGCATGCCTTTTTCGAGGACCAGAATGTTTTTTGTTGTTTTGTTTTATCATTTGAACTTTCTTCTAAATTAATAAATTCAGAAGTAAGTAGTTACCCATATTACTTTCTGTTATCTAGAATATATTCTGGTGTATTTCTTTGAAAGGCATATTCTTTGATATTCTTATCTTAGATAAAAGAGAGATTTAAAATAAAAGTAAAAGTTTAATTGAATGAGGTTATTTTTTAATCTTTTGTATTAGATGGTGACAGAGAACTCCTGAATAGCTCAAAAACGTCTTATATATATATTTTATTTTTTTTAATTGATTTCAGAGAGATGAAGGGAGAGGGAGAGATGGAAACATCAGTGACAAGAGAAAGTCACTGATCCGCTGCCTCCTGCATGCCCCCTGCTGGGGCTCGAGCCTGCAACCCGGGCATGTGCCCTGACCGGGAATTGAACCGCAATCTCCTGGATCCTAGGTCAATTCTCAACTGCTGAGCTACACTGGCTGGGCTCAGAAACTTCTTTTAAATAGTAGTTTACCTTTGTCTTGAATGATTGAAGCCTCTTTTTTTCCTTGAAATAATGTACTCCCAACAGCTGTGGCCAGAGGTTGGAGAAGAGACTTTACAACCCTCTTTTGCCATTTAGGATGAGATTCCCTCTCACTGCCTGAAGTTGGGAAGGAGCGAGGTGCTTGTGGTTTAGCATTGCTCTCCCCCAGTTGCCAACTCTGAGACTGCTTGCGGAGGCTTTGTCCATGGTCTCAGACTTTTCCCCTTTCTCCATTACAGCTCCTACTATCGATGGACTGCGCCACATGGTGGTGCCTGGGAGGCTCTGCCCACAGTTTCTCCAACTAGCCAGTGCCAACACTGCTCGGGGAGTAGAGACATGTGGAATTCTCTGTGGAAAACTGGTAAAAACAGATGCTTTTCTGAGCTGAAACTGTTTCTTCCCCCTTGGCCTCCTGTGACTCTCAGAGAAGATAAACAGGGTCACTAACTCTTTGCACCGCTTCTTCTGCTGAAGGAACCATGGACAGCATAATGCAGTGTCACTTTGAATTTGGTGACTCTGTATTTGATTGATTTTCAGAATCCCTGGAATTGAACTGATTATTTTAATGCTAGTAGTAAGAAATACCTACTTTTACACTTGGTAGGAATATCTAGTCATTATCTGTATATCATTTTCAAGCATCTGCTTTATGGGAGGACCTGGGGTTATGAAATATATAAAGGCATATAACTAACATGTATCCACAGAAAGAACCCAAGCACTTTGGAAAGGTTGGAGATACACACCAAAAGATAAATAGTATGTACAATATGAGCACTAAGACCTTTGAGGAAGGAAAGGTCATTGAATGGTGGCACTTACAGAATCCATTACTAACCACTGAAAGAATAGATGAAGTGGAATAGACTTCACCTCACCCTTAAAGGAGGAGAAAAGCTTAGAGAAACAGTGAAAGGGAAACTCTTTAGACACAAACAAAGGAAGAAAAATGGTACTATGTATGGAACTTCTCGAAAACAAGTAGACCCATTTCACCGCAGCAGGAAATTCCCATGGGGCTGTGGGCATCTGTAACTTTGCAGGGCGCCCCCAGGGGAATGCATATGAGCAGCCAAGGTTGTGAGCCACAAGGTGGAGGAGTGAGGGAACAAGATGTAGGCTGGGGTAGGAAGGGCCTTCACTTGCACAGATACTGAACTTTCCACTGCTGTGACAGAGTGGGGTTGCATAAGTGCCAGGGAATCGTGATGGGCTGTTTTCTCCTTTGACAGATGAGGAATGAATTTACCATCACCCACGTTCTCATCCCCAAGCAAAGTGCTGGCTCTGATTATTGCAACACGGAGAACGAAGAAGAGCTTTTCCTCATACAGGATCAGCAGGGCCTCATCACAATGGGCTGGATTCATGTAAGCAATTCTGAGCACTCAAGATCAGTCTCTTCCCTCCTGATGTAAACACACTGCCAGTTTTTTTCATTGAGCAAAGTGAATTGCATTCAGATTATTTAGATGATTGTGTTTCCCTTGGATGCAGACTTGACTTCCCTAACATACTTGACTACTCGAATATTGATTTCTGGGAACTACTTAGGGCTTTTAAATATTTTTATTTAAAAAACTTTTTAAAAATAAAAATGAACTTGTTTTCCTAAAGTCCCAGTTTCCTTGTGAGTGTGAATGGTGATGGGATGCTGGCCTAGAATATAGGATGTCCCCCCAAAAAATGTACATACACACTCTGAATAATTATAAAGGTAGTATTTATTAAAGTACATTTCATTTTCAAAATTGAGCTATCAGTTGTTAAAGTGTATATACATTTTTTTGGGGTACCCTGTATAAGTGGACATGGACTATGCTTACTTCATACATAGTATATATGTTCCTAAAAGTATAAATCAAAATATTTTAAATGAGCCAAGGAAGTTAATTCAGATGTTTGCGATTGATTTTTCTTAAAGCAGCATATACCTTTATGTAAACCCGAATGGCCACCAATATAGGTGATTTTCAAGTGTCTGCATATCTTACATAGTCTTTTGTTAATATTCAGGTAAAATAGAATTCTATCCCTAAAGATTATTTCTTAATTTTTTTTTCTATTCCTTTTCAATTGCTCACTCTCACAGACCAAGCTTTTCATGTTGCATGCCAGGGTTATATACAAACAAGCCAGCTCGCTTCCGGATTTGGGAAGATTACTCACACTTATATGTTAGAATTTGGGAAATATTGACCTGTGAGGCAGTCCCATGTGCCTCTGTTTTTTATTCAGTTTAATTACATGAATATTTGCCTTCCATTGAGTATCCCCATTGGATAGAAAACTTGTTCCATATCTGCCAGGGGATACAGATTTGAGTAAGGTATGATTTTAGTCTCATGAAGATTAGACACATAGACAAGTTATAACTCATGTGCCAAGTGCCTCAAGAGGAGCAAAGAGAGCCCTGTGGAATTCAGGGGAGGGAAGGATTACATGTGGTATGACTTACTAGAATTTTGACAAGATGGGTGAAGGGAGAGTTCCATAGGGAGGGGAAGGCATTGGAATAGGCAGACTGTGTTCCTGGAGCATTGAGTGTCCAGTTTGCTGGAGTGTGTGGTTCATGCCCGGAAATGGTAGTAGATAAGCTTTACGTGATACATTGGATAGACAGGCAGAATAGTTCTCCTTTTTAGTAAGTGTAGAACTCTAAAGTGGTTCTTTTTTCCTGTATTTGTGATTTCTTTCTTTTCTAATTAGCATAGTTGACATACAATATTATATTAGTTTCAGGTGTACAACATAGTACTTTGACATTTTGAGTAGAACAATGGTGTGATCAAAGCCATACTTTAGAAAATTTTAAATAAGGGCAATTTTAAGAGAAGTTGAAGCAAGGAGATCATTTAAGAGATTAGGGTGGTGGTACAATCTAATAACGAGAGCTGGCGTGATGGCATTGTGATGTGTAGGAGGAGATGAGCGGAGGGTTTCAGAGGATGTGGGGGATGAGTAAGAGAGGGTGATGAATAAAAGTCAGCGATGACTTAGAGATTTGGGGCCTGACTGGGGGAGCGGTAGTGATCATCTCATAAGCAGGAACAGGGGCTCCAGGAGAACTTACTTTGGAAGTGGGGTAAATGGTGTTCAGTTCTGAGCATGTTGAATGGAAAGTACTGGTGAGACATTAAATTGGTGGAGATACTTATCAGGCAGTTGGAAATGTGGCTGGGGCTTAGGAGCAAGGCCAAGGCAGGAAAGAGATCTGGGAACCTCTGCACAGAGCTGACCTTGAAAGCCTCTGAACTGGAGGAGAGTGCAGAGCAAGAAGAGAGTCACTGGCAGCCTGGGGACAGGTACCTAGGGGGACATAGGAAATAGGCAGTAATGAAGAAAGAGATGTAAGAGAAAGGTGAGGGTAGTGCTAAGGCACAGAAGCCAAAAGAGGAGGAACGTTTTAAGAAGAAACTTCAGGATGTTAACTATGTCACAGCTGCAGAGAGCTCCAGAATGATGAAACCTAGATGAGCCTGTTGGATTTGGGAAGTCTCTGCTGGCCTCAGTTAAGGGGATTTTAGACTGGTACAAATAGATTAGTAAGGGTTTAAGAAGTAATGGGGATTAAGGTTGTACTGATAGTGAAATTCACACCAATTTTTTGAAGAGCTCAGTTCGAAAGGAAAAGAAAGGATAGGTTGGTGGCTTAAGGAGTAGCCAGGTTGAGAGATTTGCTTGATTTATGGTTTAGTATGAAGAGCTTGAATATGTTTTGCTTTGATTTTTTTTCAAACCTTTACATTTGACATATAACACATACAAGAAATTACATAAACTAAATTATGAATCATTTAGCAAACATCTATGTACACAAACTACAAGAAATAGAACATTGTTCAAGAAACAGAGCCAGAAGGACCCTCACACCCCCATCTCCTGCCCAGTCACACTTCCTCCCTCTCCTGGATATCCTTTTTTTCTGGATATCCTTTACTTTATAGTTTTACCACCTAAATGTGTATTCATAATGCCATGTGTAGTTTTGATTGGTTTTGAACTTTTAATTATGTAATATGTATTCTTTTGTGTCTGGCTTCTTTTGCTCAACATTTTTAAAGTTTGGTGCCATTCTTGTCTGTAGTTGTCAGAATGTGTTTTTAACACCAGTGAGCCAGTGGAGGAGATTTTAGAGGAAAGGAGAGACAGGTAACATGGATGTAGGAAAGTATCAAATCAAAAGTAAAATCAGACATTCACCTTCATATGGGGGAGAAAACACTCATTCCTCCCAGACAGAATTGAAGGCAGAGAGAAAGATACAGAGAGATTTTTTTTTTTAATCCTCATTAGAGGATATGATTTTTATAAATTGATTTTGAGAGAGAGAGAGAAACATCGATTGGTTGGCTCCCATACGCACCCCAACCGGTGATCAAACTCACAACCTAGGTATGTGCCTAGACCAGAAATCAAGCCCACAGCCTTTTGGTGTACGAGACGATGCTCTAACCACCTGAGCCACCTGGCCAGGGCAGAGAGATTTTTGAGGTTATATTTGGAGGGGTTGATGGAACTCAGTTTAGGTGATCTTGATTTCAACAAGGTTGGAGTCTAGATCCACTGCCCAGTGGGAGGGACACAGGGGATTAGGAACTGGAGGAGATGGGGAAAAGTTTAAAATAATTGCTGTTTAGACTTCCAAAGGAACTTAACTACAAATGAATAAAAGGATTTCTCGATCAGCTTGTGTAGGCCTCATTTGTTCCCAGTTAGAATACGTTGGTCTAACCGTGGGATAAAATGTGTCAGCACAGGCCATTTGTCCTTAGCAGTCTGTAGAATCATATTATTATCAGATAGAAATTGTTTTTCCCTTGTGGTCACCCAAATCCTTACCTTCCTGGGGAGGACCTGTGTGCGGGTCTCCTATCAACATCCAGCTAACCCATTCCTGTCCTGCAGACCTCTTCTCTTCCACAGTATTCTGTGGAGTGGTGCTTCTCAGACAAGGCGGCACCAAGAATCATTTAATGAGCTTTTTTAAAAAGAAAAGTTCATTCTCAGGATGGATATTTCCAGTGGTAGAGTGCAGGAGCCTATGCTTTTTGTTGTTGTTGTTAATTTTTACCCGAGGATATTTTTCCATTGATTTTTAGAGAGTAGAGGGAAGGGAGGCGGAGAGAGAGAGAGAGAAACATTGGAGCATGGGCTGACGAGCCTGTGCTTTTGACAAGCTCCTTGGGAGCTTCATTTTTTGCACAGCAGGTTTGAAACTCTGGTCAGATGTACTGATTTATTTTCTGTCAGTGAAGGTTGGTGGTCTTTTTGAGTCATACTGTCTTTCTTTTTCCATTCTTGTTACCTAAAATCATACCCCCTCTAAGATGAACATACATCATTATACAATTGTTCATTTGTATGCAAAGAGTGTGCTTAATAAAACATTAAATGAGATAAACTGAATGTACATTTGGATGGTGCTCTAACTGATTACCCTCAGATTTCAATATCTTGGTCTTTTTCCCAAAGAAGACAGGGTCCTTTGTGTGATTTAACTACCCTCTGAAATCCCAGTCACTCCCTGCCTCTTATATCCTTGGACAATATGCTTTAACCACTGGACAGCTTTTGCCACTTTTGCCCGTAGAGTCCCAGACTCATGTTTGACCTTTTAACACTAACTGTGGTTAAGTCTTGACTTCTACTATGTTGAAATATTATTGGGCAGCTGTTCCATATATTCCAGAATGGATGGACTCTCACTGTGCAGAGAGAGCTCGTGAGAAGTTAAATAAGTTACGGTGGTCAGTTAGAAATTATGAGTCTCTTCACTCGCTCGTGTTAGGCACTTGTTTACACTACTGGAAAGGAAATTCCTTACTTGTCATGAACTTCAGGCGTGCCCCTCATGGCTGCAATGGCTTTGTGCTTGAGGAGACTGTGGCCAGCTGCTGAGAACTATTTGACTCTGCCTCCCTGCATGGGCCAGGGTTAGCTGTGTATTCTCACTGAGGGGGTCTCTGACTTTTTTTCCTCTTCTCAGACTCATCCCACACAGACCGCATTCCTCTCCAGTGTTGACCTACACACTCACTGCTCCTATCAGTTGATGTTGCCGGAGTCAATAGCCATCGTTTGCTCCCCTAAGTTCCAGGAGTAAGTACATAGGACATGGTTCAAGGAGGGGGCGTTACAAGGAGAGAATGAGGGGAAAGCCTCAGGGAAAAAGGTCTGGATTCTTAAGCCCTTGTTCTCTATAAAATATATATTGTGGTATTAATTGGCTGTTCTAAAAGGCTTCCTTTTAAACTCCATATCCTGATAAACCTGGTACGCTTGTTTGAAAAGATATCCAAGCAACGACTTAGGTGCTTTGCTAAGAAAAGGACATAAGAAATTTGAAGTGTTTGACTTAAAGCAGTAGGAGTTTTAAGAGATTTATGTCAGATTAGAGAATTTAAAAATCAAACAGATAATCTCATTGTTAACTTCTTTTTCATTCTAAATCCTGTTATTTACTGTGAATTCTCCCAGCAAACTAGTGTGGTGGCAGTGATGAGTCATTCTCTGACTCTGATTCATTCACCAGAGAAGAGTCTATGAGCCAACCCTTGAAGCAGTCTCAAAATGTGCTGTGCCCTGCTGAGTGAGTGAGTGAGTGAGTGAGTGAGTGAGTGAGTGAGTGAGTGTGTGTGTGTGTGTGTGTGTGTGTGTGTGTGTGAGTGTGTTAGGGATTAGGGGGCCACATTTGCTTGATTCTGGGCCTGCTTTTTCTTTTTCAGAACTGGATTCTTTAAACTAACTGACCATGGACTAAAGGAGATTTCTTCCTGTCGCCAGAAAGGATTTCATCCGCACAGCAAGGACCCACCACTCTTCTGTGTATGTATCTATGTAGAAGAAATTGGGGCTGTGTCTCAAGCAGGGAGCGCAGCCAGAGCTGATGAGGTCCATTGTACTTTCTGGCCCACACAGATGAGCCTTAGCACCTGTCTTCCCAAATCTTTCTAATAAGGACATACATGGGCAGCAGTGTGGAAGAGGAATGATTGGAGTCTTAGCTCTGCCACTGCACGACTGCGTGTCTTTGATCAGGCTACTTAACCTTCCTGGGCCCCAGTTTTCTCACCTGTAAATGGGGATGATAATAATAATAATACCTACTTTATAGGGTTGTCGAGAGTATTAAATGAGATAATATTCAGAAAGTACCTAGTGCAGCAAGCTGGCTTTTTTTTTTTTTAATTTTTTTTTTATTGATTTCAGAGAAAGGAAGGGAGAGGGAAAGAGATAGAAACATCAATGATGGGAGAAAGTCATTGACTGGCTGCCTCCTGCTTGCCCCCTGCTTGCCCCCTGCTTGCCCCCTGCTTGCCCCCTGCTTGCCCGCTGCTGGGGGTTGAGCCCAAAACCTGGTTGAACCTCGATCTCCTGGATCATAGGTCAATGCTCAACCGCTGAACCAAACTGTCTGGGCAGTAAACTGGCTAATTAACTGTTAGTTTTTTTCTTCATCAACATCAGTTGCCCAGCCGGGCGTGGTTCAGTGGTTGAGCATCGACATAGGATCCAGGCGATTAGGGTTCGATTCCCGGTCGGGGCACATGCCTGGGTTGCGGGCTCGATCAGTGACTCTCTCATCATTGATGTTTCTATCTTTCTCTCTCCCTCTCCCTTCCTCTCTCTGAAATCAATAAAGATATATTTAAAAAAAAAAAAAATCAGTTGCTAAGCCTGTAGTTCAATAAGAGATTTGAAATCAAAGGAAAAAAGCCACTTAAGTAAAGTATATTTGATTCTGGAATTTTACTTAGATAATAGGAATTTTTATGACCCTCTTAGAAAGTTTTTGCCCCTAAGTTGAATTCTGTGAATGCAAAATTTCAGTTGCTGATAAGATCAGTGTGCTGCAGTATGCTCCTCAAACCTAATGTGGTGGTGTTGCTCCACTCCATGCTGGCTGTGAGTAGTATTTCTTTTGGGTTCACTGAAAAGTGACCAACATGGAAAAAAGACTCAGAACCTTGTCACTTAAAAGGAACTGGGAGTGTTTAGAAGAGAAACACCTGGGAGAATCTGAGAACTGACTTTAATGTTGGAAGAATCGTTGTATAAAAAGATATTGGCTGTATTTCTTATGATTCCCAGAACTAAAATAAGATCTTGTGGAATGACAGTTTTCAGCTGAGAATGAGAAACAACTTTCCGACAGATCTGTTCAAAAGTAGGTTAGTCTGTGGAATTGTGCACCTGAAACCTGGATGATTTTGTTAACTAGTGACACCCCAATAAATTCAATAAAAAGGCAAAAGTTACGTTAAAAACCCTTAAAGAAAAACATTAGACTGGGAAAAAAGTAGGTTAGTGTGCCTTGGAATGTAATAATGGTTAGGTGCCAGGGTGTTGAAACAGAGACTGCACAATCCCCTCCAAATGTTCAGGTTTTCAGTTATAAAGACCCCTTTTGTGTGGCAAAAGGGAGCATCTCCTATGTGCCAGTGGGTGTGCTTTATTATCTGGTTGACATAGTGACCCCAAAACAGCAATGAATTGAGCAGCTCTTTTAGATAAACATATATTGAACGACTCTAGACTATAGATACATTTGAAAAATAAATGAGGATAGATGAGCCCAAGTTGGTTCAGGGTACAGGTAGGGATTGGTGGAAGTAATGATTCTCAGACTCTTTAACATAACTGCCAGGTAATTAGCCATCCGGACTCCAGACTGGAAACCACTAGCCAGAATGAGCATTTTAAGTAAAGAGCTTTAAAAAATAACTTCAGAATTTTCCAGGACTTCTCCTTTTTTTCTTTTTCCCTGTTACAGAGCTGCAGCCACGTGACTGTTGTGGACAGAGCAGTGACTATCACTGATCTTCGATGAGAGTTTGACCCCAACACCTGTCAAGAACCATAAAACCACATCAGTGTACTGTAGCCCCTTAATTTAAACTTTCCATAAAGCTCTGGAAGCTTTTTTAGACAAAACAGAAAGTGAATATCACCTGGGAGAGAACGGATTTTTTAATTTTTGATTTGAAAAGAAATAATTGAATATATTTTTTAGACAAGTCTGGAAAATAGCATGATTATGCTAAAGCAACTTTTCAGTCTGCCTATAACTAAGAAATTAAGTTGAAAGAAGGGTATAATGAACACTCATGTACTCTTTGTTCTAGATTCACCAATTATTAACATTTTCTTTCAGCTCTCCTAATTTCTCTGCCAACGTGTTTATTGTTTACCTTTGAACTAACTAAAGGCATCTATGCAGAAATTTGGAAGCCATTCAGAAAACCTCTGGGTTTTCCTGTAATTTATGGCAATATTAATGAACTTTTTTACGAGGGCCAGGGACAGCTCACCATGTCCCACCAGATGGTGAGGCTTGACAATCCTGAAGGATGATTTTGTCAGGAATTATTGTTATTTAACAAACATGTCAGGATATTTTTTCCTCTACAATAAAATAACAGTTAACCTGTGTGTGTGTGTGTGTGTGCTTTAGAGCGATCTGTTTGATCAAGCATTGTCTGAACAGGCTAACTAAAAGGTCTAGCTGTTTGGGAATATGGAATTTGAGATGTACTGCCATAAAAGTGTGTCCCAGTTCACTTGTAATTATTCAGTGTTTTTGTCCAACTGTTGCCATCATCCAGGGCCGTGAAGTCATCTGTTCGTTTTGGTGCTGTCTCAAGTAGGTCATCCCATTCACTTCCTCCCTCTGCCCTAAAAGCTTTCAGATGAAGGTAACAGAGCCTTTCTTTGGAGTGCCATGTTACACTCCAAGTAATTGATTGCGTTCCCATGCCACCCCACCCTACCAATTTTTTGTGTTGACTGTTCTTTTCTGACTTGGGCAACATTTAGGAAGGTGTTTAAAGCTGCAGTTGATCCTGTGTTTTTCTTTGTATGAGCTGTCTTAGGTTCGAAGGTGGCCTAGAAATAATGGTGTTGTTTGTGACCCCTCAGGTGGGGGCAGAAGAGTAAATAGCTTGGATAGGAGAGGAATGGTTTCTTTTTATATCAAAATTCTGTGGGGAAAAGTCTGCAAATGTATGAAATTTTGCTTCATTTAAAAATTTTATGTCCTGGATATGTTCAGTCTTTATCATTTAGGTTAGTGGTGGAACTATTCCCCTGAAAGCCAAGTCCCTATATTCTTGTTCTTCTATATTCTTGGGTTCTTAACCCCAAAGATACTGGAAATTCTTTCTCCTGCAGTTTCAGTGTAGGTAGGAATGTGGGGCCGAGTGGGGAAGTACCTCACCTGTGACAGTCCCCCTTTCCCTACTTGTGGCCCAAGGCAGCCTAGATAGTTCCACCTTACCCTAACAGTCACTTAAGTTCTTGCCCCTAGCTAACACATTAAAATACCTGAGTTTTTAAATACTTGTGTCCCACCCCCACCCCAGTGAAATCGGGGGGCTCCAGGTATTGTTTCTGTTTTGTTTTTGTCTTTCTCTAAAGCGGCTAGGATTCTCAAGCACAGCCAGGGTTGCAAACCAGTGCACCAGTCATTTATACCTAAGAATTGTGTGCTCTCCTTTCAGTCTCTGCAGATCAGAGGCATTCAGCAAGTGTTTGTTGAACCAAAGTGAACTAAATGTATCATATGTTGCAGCCACATTGATCACTTACTGTTTTCCAAATGGCCACATTTTCTTGCCTCTTTACCTTTGCATAAGAAAGCTCAGTGGCTGGGCGGGCTTAGGAAAGCAGTCTACAGTGACCCTCTTTGCACCGCTGCAGTCTGGCCATGGCAGAGGCATTCTGCACAGGACAGCTTCGGTGTCTCTCTCTTCGCCCCACCTCTGCAGGAGAGACTCTCATGGTATCCAGCCAGCCCACAAGGCAGCAGGGAGGAAGAAGTGGAAAAAGTATGTATCATCTCCAGATGCTTTTATGAATGAGTTCTTTCAAAGTTTCAAGGTACAGGTCATTTTTATGCCATTTTTTTATTGTAAAAAAAAAAAAAATCACATAACCTAAAATTTGCCATATCAACCTTTTTAAGTGTACAATTCAGTAGTGTTAATTATACTCGTATTATTATGAAAGGAATTCCAAAACTTTTTCATCTTGCAAAACTGAAACTCGGTACCCATTGAACAGCATCTCCCTTTTCCTCCTCCCCCAGCCTCTGGCAACCGCCCTTCTCTTTTCTGTCTCAGTGAATTTGACTTCTTTAGATATTTCATATAAGTGGAATCAGACAGTATTTGTCTTTTTGTGACTTGCTTATTTTACTTAGATAATGTCCTCGAGGTTCATCTATATTGTAGCATGTCAGAATTTCCTTCTTAAGGCTGAATAATATTCCATTGTATGTATACAACACATTCTGTTTATCCATTCATCCCACAGTTGTCTCTTGGGTTGCCCCCACTTCCTGGCTACTGTGGCTAGTGCTGCTGTGGACATGAGTGTTTAAATATCTCTTGCTGTTTGCACGGTTGTAGATCATAGGAAAATAAGAAAACCAGTATAATTCATTTTTGTGAACATCCCTAATAAATTGTGTACACACACATACATGCACTTCACACCATTTTCAATAATATAGGTGCAAAAATTCTAAATAAAGCACTAACAAATTCATCAACATACTAAAGGAATAATGTGCCGTAACTGCCAGCATATTGTGCATCCCCATTTGGAACTTGCCCATGACCCTCCAGCTAGTAAGTGCTGGACTAGGAAGGCAGCCCAGGTCTGCCTGACTCCAGAACCCAGGGTCCATTTGGTGAATTTGTTGAGAAGGCAATGATGGCCCCATAAAAGAAACCCACTGATATAATACATCACAGAAGTAGGTCATAGGAAAATAATAGACCCAAGAGTCTCTCATAGATTATAAAGTATTTGAAGATGAAAATCAACATATTATTTTTTATTTTTAAAACTCCCCTAATTAGGAAAGAAAAAAAGCTTCATTAACATGATAAAATGTATCTTCTGAAACAATGCCCAGCATAATTCTTAAAGAAATAATGTTGTCCCCCGGCCGGGTGTGGCTCAGCAGTTGAGCGTCAACGTAGGATCCAGGAGATCACAGTTCAATTCCTGGTCAGGGCACATGCCTGGGTTGTGGGCTCCATCCTTAACTGAGGACATGCAGGAGGCAGCCGATCCATGAGGACCTTCTCATCACTGATGCTTCTCTCTCCCTCTCCCTCTCTCTGGAACGAATAAAGATATATTTAAAAAAAAAAAAATGTTGTCAAGGGCAAGACAGACCCATCTAACCACTGTTCCTCAACAGTGTCCTGAAAGGATAATCTAGCCCCTGTAATGAAGCAGGATGAAGAGCTGGCTACCGGAAAGGAGACACAGCTTTACAAGGTAAGTATCTATCTAGAAATCTGAAGATAATCATGAAAAACAGACCTAAAAAGAGAGAGCAGCAAGAATGTCCAGTAAAAGATATACATTAAACTTCTAAAGTAGCTTTCTAGTATAGATAATAGCCAGTTGCGATTGGGAGGGGAAAAAATTTATTCACCCTAGCAACCAAAACTGTAAACTACCTTGGAACAAAATTAATAGGAAACACGCAAGACTTCCATGAAGAAAAGTACTAAGCTCTATAGAGGGACATGAAGAAAATAAATGGAAAGACAGGTTCACTACATTCCATGAGGGAAGACAATGCTTTAAAGATGTTAACCTTTAATCCATAACTTTTAAAAATATTTTTTTTTCTTGATTTCAGAGAGAGGAAGGGAGAGGGAAAGAGAAGCAGCAATGATGAGAGAGTCATTGATGGGCTGCCTCCTGCACGCCCCTGCTGGGGATCGAGCCCGCAACCCGGGCATGTGCCCTGACCGAGAATCACAGGTCGATGTTCAACTGCTGAGCCATGCTAGCTGGACGGGCTTTAATCCATAATTTTAAATGTAAATCTACAAAAATTTTATTTTTTAGCTTGAAAATAATCTAAAATTAATCTTGAAGAAGTGAAATAACCATTTTTTAAAATTGAAAGAAGAATGATGGGGGAAATTTTATTACCAGATAACTCTTATTATAAACCTGTAAGTTAAAATAATACCATACTGGTGGAGGGCTAGACTAAGAACTTGCAAACTTTATTGCTGAAGGAGATAAAACTTAAAGAGATTAAGTTGCGGAAGCCCACAGAACTCTAAATGAGTGGTCTCAGACTTCCAAACCACATTCTTAACCACAATGCAACACTGCCCTCCTAAAATGTACATAGATACGTGCATTACTAAAAACTATCAAAATAAGTACACCAAAATATTACTATTAGTTATCTGTAAGTGATAGAATTATGGCATGATCTTTTTTCCCCTCTATACTTTTTCTGAATTTTCCAAATATTCTACAGAGAACACATATTGCCTTTATAATTGGACAGAAAGAACAATTCTACTATTTTCAGAAACCAGAGCTCCACTGCTCCTTCAATGTGGGAATCCAGCCAAGATCTTGTTCTTGGACAGAGTCAGTGAAAGGGCCCTGGGAATGCTCCTGGGCACAGCAGCAGAGGCTTGTCATATATGGAAACCTTCCATGAGGATGACCTCACCACTGGAATCTATTCAACATAATCCTTGCCTGCAAGACTAGTAGAGATCTTTGGACAAAAACCTGGAGGTTAAAGAGCCGGGAAAGACATGGCCTAATGAGAAAACTTCTGGGCTTACGACCTCAAGAAGTTCAGTGTATCCATCTGGACTTTGCCAGTCTCTTCTGTGATCAGTTCCTAAGGAAGGATTACTTTTCTCACCTCAACCTCCTCCGCGACAACAACTCCCACAATGGCCCAGGGTTCTTTCTTTTTCCTGGGCCTGAGTGAGAATATAAGATGTTACTGCTGTTGGACAAACAAGAATGGGTTATTGGTGGTGAAAACAGTAGAGACATCACCTGGACTGAAAGAAGAGACTATTCTTAGCTATTCCCAAGTCATTCTCTGTAAATAGCTTCTGCATCCCTGGCAGTCTTGATCTTCACCTCACTTCATCTTTTAAAAAGCCAACAGCATCACATCCAAGCACAATCCCATCAAAACACGGTCCAGTCATCTACAGCGCTGGCCCCTTTGCCACAGCGGACAGCTCTGAACACCTCGGGCCACCATCCTTAAGCATCTGGGTCCAGAACTCTCACCCGGCATTGACAGCTCTAGAGGCAAAAAGTCCCCATGGGTGCTTTATTTAGCTCGAGTTTGAAAAATTGCCTGGGCGTAGAAGGGCCATACCAGGCTCTAGTCAGAGACTGGCCCCACATTTATAAAAATTGGGACTGTCGGCTTGCATCGAGAGCCAGAGGGAGTGAACTTCCTGGGTGGTTCACACAATCTCACTTTCCAGGATAACTGCTCCAGCACCTCTTTGGGAGCCTGCCCTGGTTGCTGGGTTCCATTCTCACTACATGGTGTTACCAAAGTAAAGTATTTTAAAGACAGTGAAAAATGTCTAAACTTGAACTTCTATTTTGGTTTTTCACAGCTTCGTCATTGGACTTGTTCAAGGTTATTTTGGCTACCCAACAATGCTTACCCCAAATGTAGGAAAAGCGGGACCTGCATTTGCGGTAACGTTTTGAAATTCAAACTGGTTCTAAATTATTTGCATTATGTTGTTATGGAGAACCTTACTATCAGAACACAAGTGATGCTTCTAATAGTTCTCAGCTCACACCAAATTGCAAGTATGTTTTTCCCTTCAGCGCTAGGAGCGGGCGTGATGCTGGGGTTGTAAGAACAGGCTCTGGAGCTAGACTGACCTGGGATGGGTTCCTGGCTTCTTGTCACTTCAGTAAGGGTCTCATCCTCCCTAGCTTCAAAGCCATCAACTCTAAAAAATGTGGATAATACCAGGATTAAATAAGAAAATGCATACATAGGGCTTAGTACAATGTATAGCACATAGATGCAACTCAATAAATGGCAGCTATCGATAATAACAATAATAGTAATAACGAGGCCCAAGGCCAGTAGTCTGCTCCAAATCACCCGTTGGGACTCGTTCTTGCCTGGAGAGATGGGCAGAGTATCCTAACAACCCAGGCTCAGCTGAGCCCCCGTATGCTGAGGCCTTTCGCAGGGAAACACAGCCCCTATTCATAAAATACTTTCAGTTAAAAGGCCCCCTTCTGGGTGTGCAGGCCTGAGTGTCAAGTAGAGCTCGACTTTTAGAAGACCCATCCAGCAGGGAGGCTGCCAACCCTGCGTTTAAAGCCCTCCAGTCCCTGTTCCCCCATCACGCAGCCCCCCAGTAACTCCTTTGTGCAGGCGTGATCGGGACCCGAGGCACCACAACCCAAGGGCTTGCCAGGAAGGAGGAGTGTGGGAGTTGGGGAGAGAATTGCCTGATGATAAATAAGGGAAGGAGCTGGGATCCCAGGGCACCTCCCAGGCCAGCCCAAGGCTTGCGACACTTGGAAAGCAAAGAGGAGTGGTCTGTTTCTAGCTCCTCCAGAGCTGAGTCATCCCAGAGGGCTGGTGGGGAAAGGCTGGTGTCTTTTTACTTAGCTGGTTGGGAGGTTTCAAAGTCTCCCCCTTTGGCTGTCACCCCTCCATTTAGCACTGACTGTCCAAATGCTGGCTTTCTTGTAGTGCAAACTGTGCTCCCAAACCCCAAACTGCACACTTTCTTCATATGGGAAAGCTGGTGTAGTTCCAACACTTTCAACCTCCCTTCTCCCCACCCCCCAGAGAGACACCCGTAGCCCCTCTCTTGGGTGAGGTAC